TTTTGCCAGGCTTTCATCGTACTGGTCTTCTGCGATCTAAACCACAGAAATCCCTTAACATTCTCAATGTGTAGACAAGACCTGCTGCTGGTTCATAACCGTAGACCGACAGCTTTAAAGTGGAGCCTCAGACAGCCTGTGGGCAGCTTTAATATGAGATTCAAAGGCAGTTTCTGTAATGAAGCTACTGTCTCTCTCCACAGCGCTCTTTTGGAGACATTTCCAAGCGGGTAGATCTCCGGGAAAAACTCCAGTGTAAGAGCTTTTCCTGGTATTTGAAGAACGTCTATCCGGAGGTCTTCATGCCCGATCTCAGCCCGCTGCAGTTTGGCGCGGTGAGTGTGTGTACAGTGGCTGGGACGTCTCTGTATTTCTCTGGTGTTTTGTCTGGCCGCTGCGGTTTCCCACCATAAAACCTTGTTTTAACAGCTTTCATGTTACGACACCACAATCCGTTCCATTTCCTCCTTCAGCCCTCCTTCTGTCTCCTTCCAGATAAAGAACGTGGGGAAGGAGGCCTGTTTGGACACAGGAGAGGGTAATGAGGGAGGGAAACCTCTCATTATGTACCCCTGCCACGGCATGGGAGGAAACCAGGTAATTAGAGCAAGAACAGTTTGTCCTGTGAATGAATCAATGGAATTGACCACTCTTGTTTTAAAACTGTTTTTAGTACAAATAAATAATAATAATTGAAATCACGTGAAGGTGCTTTTCTTAAAGGAACAGAAAAAATTATTAAATTAAATTAAACTATTTAAAAAAAAAGAATAAATAAAACTATAAAAATAGTCCATACAATTTATTTACTTTAATAATTAATAATAATAATAATTTAAATCAGATGAAGGTGCTTTTTTATTTTATTTTATTTTATTTTATTATTTTATGGAATGGAATGGAACAATAAATAGTCCATACAATTGCTATTTATTTATTTATTGATTTATTTCTTTGTTTTCCTTACAGGAACAGTAAAAAAAGTCATACAAAATAGTCCATACAATTCAAGCACTATATTATATAATACATTTATTATCATTTTATTTAATATTATATAATATTAAATAAAAATCAGGTGAAGTTGATACATTTTTTTTGCTGTTTTTTTAACACAAGCATCAGTGATTTTTGGAATAGATTTTATTTCTAAGTGCATCTCAAATATCATTTTAATGAGTTCCCTTGATATATTTTCCAGAACCTCTCAGGAGTTTCCAGGCAAACATCTTTATCATGTTTAATGAAAAGTTTTCTCGGTGGTGAAGGTCATTTCTCTCCTCTGATCGTACAGTATTTTGAGTACTCGACCCATCACGAGATCAGGCACAACATTCAGAAGGAGCTCTGTTTGCACGGGACAGACGAAGTCGTCAAATTAGAGGAGTGCCAGTATAAAGGTCACAACACCATCACAGGACCTCAGCAGAGATGGGAGCTCAGAGAGGTAGAACAACCTTTTAAAGGCCACGCTGGAGCTCTCGCTTTCTCTTCTTCTTAATAAGCCTCTGATCTTTATAGACTCAACTCCAAAACAGCCTGAGGCTGTGCTGTGTTCCTCAACTCAGCCTTCTCTAAAGCCAACATTGTCTTTAGAGACTTGCCATTCTCCTGTTCTGCTTGTTAATGCTCATTTTTATCAAAACGTAAACACTGATTTGCAATATGTCTGGCTTTGCTGCAAAAACTAGTGAGCTGGCTTGCTGTTTGCTGTCTACATAGAGCATCCAAACCATCATGTGATCTTAAAAATTACTTATTTGGAGCACCAGTGATGCAAAACTCTAGCAAGCAAACACGAATATTGAGTAAAATACATGGCAATATATATATATATA